ATTAGCAGCAGCAGCACCAGCAGCACAGGAAGCGAGGGCCGATAGGAAATATGCCCCACCTGAGATTCGAAGTCAAGAACAGGATCCGCTGCTGCTGCTGCTGCTGCTGCTGCTGCTGCTGCTGCTGTTCGCTCTGCGCCAAGTTTGGCTTTCCGCCTGTAGCAGAAGCTGCTGCTTCTGCTGTGTCTTGCTGCCGCTGCTGCTGCTGCTGCTGCTGCTTCTGCTGCTGCTGCTGCTTCTGCACAGCCGCAGCTGCAGCGAGCTGCCTAACGCCCTTGAGCGGCTCCTCTGCTGCGGGCGCGTCTGCTGCGGCGTCCGTTGCTGCTGCTGCTGCTGCTGCAGCAGCAGCAGCATTTTGAGCTGTCAAAGCAGCAAGAAGATGTCTAATGCTCAAAGACTGCTCCATTCCCAAGGAAGATAAAGGAGAATCCACAAAGACAGAATCAAATTCCCAAGTCAGCAGCAGCTCGCACAGCAGCAGCAGCAGCAGCCGCAGCGGGAACTGAGGTGTACATACACCCCGGTTGAAACAGTAGTTCCAAATCGACTCCCTGAAGACACAACGCAAATTCACAAACCATCAAGCAGCAGCAGCAGCAGCAGCAGCAGCGACAGGGGCAGCTTGAGCAGCAGGAACAGCAGGTGCTGCAGCAGCAGCAGCAGCAGCAGCAATGGCCGCTGCAGCGAAAGCACCAAAGCAACAGCAGCAGCACCAGCAGCCGCAGTGTCCGCAGACACGACACAAGAGCAGCAGCAGCAGCAGCAGCAGCAGCACCAGCACCAGCAGCAGAAGCAGCAGCAGCAGCAGCAGGGCGGACCCATGTCGGATGAAGATGATTTGCTTTTGCTGCAGCACTGCTGTTGCTTCGGGCAGCAGCTTGTCGCGGTGTACGTACACCTCAAGGCCCTCAGTGTCTGCCCAAGAAAGAAAATAAAAAAACCACCGAAGACACACGAGGCACTTTCGCAAGAAGTTGGAGACCACCTGCAGCGCAGCACACACACCCTGCTACTGCTGCTGCTGCTGCTGCTGCTGCTGCTGCTGCTGCTGCTGGGGCTGGGGCGGGGCGCGGCGGGGCTCCAGGTGCTGCTGTTGCTCGGGCTGCTGCGGGGAATGGGAGGGCTCGTGGGAGGCGCGCTGCTGCTGCTGCTGCTGCTGTGGGCTCTACAGTGCGGGTGAGGCTGCTGCTGCTGCAGCTGGGGCTGCTGCTGCTGCAGTGTGTGCTGCTGCTGCGCACTTCTCTGAAGACTGCCCTGAGAAGAACAACGTGGGCTTTGAAGGCCTGGGCCTTGGTCGTTTCCTTTGTTGCAGCAGCGGCTGCTGCTGCTGCTGCTGTCGCGGCAGCAGCGGAGCTGCCGGTCCCCGGCAGCTGCTGCTGCTGCAGCAGCAGCGCGTAGCGAATGATAACAGCAACAGCAAACAGGGCTAGCCACAGAAGCACGCAAAGCCGCAGCAGAAAGGCCCCTGGGGGCCCCTCCTCGGGTGCTTCTGCTGGGGGTTCCCCGGAGGGGCCCCAGTCGGAAGCCTCCATGTGCTGCTGCTGCTGCTGCTGCTGCAGCACCTTGTGCACCTCAGCGCTGCCACTGGCTGTCTTCTCGAAGCAACAGAATAAGAAAAACGAAAAATAAATAAAGAGGAGGGGAAGTCAGTCTCGAGAAGCTGCGTTTGCTTCCAGGCTCGGGCAGACAGCCGTGTTACTGCTGCTGCTGCTGCTGCTGCTGCTGGTGCTGCTGTTGCTGCTGCTGCAGAGGTGTAATAGGGCCACCAAAATAAAACTAAAGGCACATCGGACTTAATAATACTAAAGGACCAAAGACAGAAAGCCATTTTCAGCTGCAGCAGCTGCGCAAGTGGTTCAACAGGGGCCCCTGCAGCAGCATGGGGCCCCCAGCAGCAGCAGTAGCAGCACATTGCAGGTACAGCGGGGGGCCCCCGTTAAGAGTGACCATCTGCTTGAAATAGAGTTTAATTTCCAATTGTGTTTCAATTATATTTTGTGAGCTCAAATGCGCACACACTGAGGCCCAGGCAGCAGCAGCAGCTGCTGCTGCTGCTGTTCTCGCAGCTGCTGCTGGTGCCACAGCTGTTGCTTCTCCTGCGGCAGCTGTTACTGCTGCTGCGTCAACAGTTACTGCTGCTACCGTAGCTGTTGCTGCTGCTGCTGCAGCAGCTGCTGCTGCTGCACTGTGGGAGCGCTCAGAGTGTGGGAAGCAGCAAACTGCCCATTATAAGAAAACTAGCAGCAAATAAGACCCAAAAGAAAACCCAGGCCTCCCCTGGCCACCCGCAGCAGCAGGGGGGCCCAAGAGGGTACCAAATGTAAAACTGGCAGCTAATTAGTCGCAGCAAGGGGCCCCCCAGCCCCCCAGAAATGCAGCAAAACACAAACTCACGAAACACCCAGCCACCCGGGGGCCCCTAAGGGCCCCCATGGGGGCCCCCCGGGCCTGGGGGGCCCCATACGGGGGAGGCCCCATACGGGGGCCCCCGGAGCCGTGGGGGCCTCCTATGGGGGCCCCCAGATGCCTA